CTCTTTTGTTCTTCCTCCCGTTGTCTCTGTAGTTCTAGTTCACGTTGTCTCTTTTGTTCTTCTTCCCGTTGTCTCTGTAGTTCTAGTTCACATCGTCTCTTTTGTTCTTCTTCCCATTGTCTCTGTAGTTCTAGTTCACGTTGTCTCTTTTGTTCTTCCTCCAGCTGTCTCTGTATTTCTAGTTGACGTTCTTTCTTTTGTTCTTCCTCCCGTTGTCTCTGTAGTTCTAGTTCACGTTGCCTCTTTTGTTCTTCCTCCCGTTGTCTCTGTAGTTCTAATTCATGTTGTTTCTTTTGTTCTTCCTCCCGTTGTCTTTGTAGTTCTAGTTTACGTTGTCTCTTTTCTTCCTCCTGCTGTCTCTGTACTTCTAGTTCACGTTGTCGCTTTTGTTCTCTCTCCCATTGTCTTTGAATCTCCAGATCATGTTGTTTCCTTGCTTCTTCCTGATATTGCCTTTGGACCTCGAGTTCACATTGTCTTTTTTGTTCTTCCTCCCGCTGTCTTTGTAGTTGTAGTTCACATTGTCTCTTTTGTTCTTCCTCATGCTGTCTTTGGACCTCCAGTTGAAATTGTCTCTTTTCTTCTTCCTGTTGTTGCCTTTGGACCTCCAGTTCACCCTGTCTTTTTGCTTCTCCCTGCTGCCTTTGTGCCTCTAGTTCTTGTTGTTTCTTCTTTTTCTCCTTCTGCCATTGCATGTCCACTTCATGTGGTTTCTGCTCTTCCTGCTGTCCTTGTGCCTCTAGTTCATGTTGTGCCTGTTCTTGATCCCTTTGTTTTTGTTCCTCAAGATCCTGAGATTTTTTTGGGATTTCTGCCTGCAATTTTTCAAGCTCTTCTCCATCCCTTCCCTGTTTTCCTTGTTCTTTTAGGCCTTTTGCCTGATGATCTTGATCTTTTTTCTCTTCCATTTGATAAAGTTGTTCTTCCTGAAGTTGCAGTTTTTTCCCTACTTGTTCTCCTTGGACTCCCTCAAATTCTTGACATCTTTTGTGTTCCATAGGGCTTTTGAATTTTGCTTCAGCCATTTCTTCCTTTTTCCCTGCCTCAAGTTTTATCCAGTGGTCTTGTTTTCGTTTTCCTTCAGTTTTCTGTTCCTGGACTTTTCCATGCTGGATTAACTTCTCTGGTCTGTAATAGCTATCATCTTTTGTCATTTTATCTTCAGTGCCCTGCGATTCTAGGATGTCTTGTCCAAAGTCAGTTTCAATTAAACTTTGTACCTCCTAGTATTGGGAAATAAAAATAGAAGTAGAAGGCTATTATAATCCCATTCCTATTTTAAATAATTCATTGTAATGAATTACAAGTAGTCCTCGACTTACAACAGTTCATTTAGTGACTATTCAAAGTTATAATGGCACTGTAAAAAGGGATTTATGACTGTTTTTCACACTTACAACTGTTGCAACATCCCCATGATCATATGATCAAAATTTGGGCACTTGACAACTGGTTCATATTTAGGACAGTTGCACTGTGCATGTGATCACCTTTTGTGATCTTCTGACAAACAAACTCAATAAGGAAGCCAGATTTATTTAAGGACTGTGTACAAACTTAAAAACTGCAGTGATTCACTTAACAACTATAACAAGTTGTAAAATGGGGCAAAATTCACAACAACTGTCTCACTTAGCAACAGAAAATTTGGGCTCAATTGTGGTCATAAGTCAAGGACTATCTATATTTGTTTTTATAAAAGTTAGTCATATATTGCAACAATGTTAATGTATTCTATATAACATTTCAACATGTATAGAATAGATTAAGGTCTAGCAATTTGTCTCATGTTGATTCCATCCAGGTTTCAGGCATTTTGAACTGCTATTTATGGAAATACCTATTTTGGGGGGGAAAACCAATTAGCATTCTACCATTTAGAAAATGTATCCATTCAGAAATTCACTATTCATCTAAGAAAGTTGCAGGATATGTAACAGGCAAGAGCTTGTATTCAAAGATATAAGGAATGACTCCCAGTTCTGGTGTATACTTGCACAAAGAACTGCAGGACGACAATGGTATAGTAGTGTAAATGTTGAAGTGAAATGGAAATAAGATATAAAACATGCAGATGACAATATCTTATCTGGCAAAAACCCTTGTTAATTACATACACTAGTATTGGTGAACTAAGCAGTCATTGTTATTACATTTCATTCTCACCCAACAACATGTACAATTTGTTCTACTTCAAATTTATCTATAACAAAAGATAAAGGTTTATCTCAGGGGTCGGCAACCTTAAACACTCAAAGAGCCACTTGGACCTGTTTCCCAGAGAAAAGAAAACACTGGGAGCCGCAAAACCTATGTGCATATGCCTGCGTGCACAAGGGGAGGGGAACTTGATTGAAGAGTTTAATTAAAAAGAAATAGAGGCTGCTGTGCATGAGTTCTCTCTCTCTCTCCCCCCGTCCCTTCATCCCTCCCTGTCTCTCCCTCCCTCTCTCTCTGTCTCCCTCTCCCTCTCTCCGATCTTCTGCTCAGGAGAGAGAGAGAGAGAGAGAGAGAGAGAGAGAGAGAGAGAGAGAGAGAGATGCTGCTTCCTGTTGAGACGCAGCAAAGGCAGGAGCCCCGCCCAATAAGCTTGTCAGCTTGTCCGAGAACAGCGTGAGGCCACTCTCTTTTTTACACACACACACACACACAGAGAGAGAGAGAGAGAGAGAGAGAGAGAGAGAGAGAGAGAGAGAGAGAGAGAGAGAGAGAGAGAGAGAGAAGGGAAGCGCAAGTGCCTCTCTCTGTCTCTGTCTCTCTCTCTGCAAATGACGGAGGAGACTGGGAGCCGCAGGAGAAGGCTCAAAGAGCCACATGCAGCTCCGGAGCCGCGGGTTGCCAAATTGCTCAAGATTCTTTGAGATTTTGCCCAACAGATTTATAAAAGTCTCCACTCCAAAAAAATGTTTGTAGCTCAGGGTTGAACTGTGGACTCCTTGCTACTCTCTGAGCTTGGTGGTTTGATTGTAGTCATTTCATTATCAGTCATTTCATTATCATTATCAGACTAGGTAACATAATTAGTACTACCAAATGTTAGTACTAATTAGTACTAGCAAATAGGGTTTGCCACCTATTTATAGTAGCTTGCCCTACCAGTATAGGGGGGATTAGAGAATGCTAATAATTCCTTGATTAGGGAATTATTTTCTGTTAAGATTGTTTGTCTGGGGTTAATCCCTGCTTATCTGGTTGCTGGTTGCTGTGGAGGAAGCTGTTTTTGTTTCCTCCTTAGTGCTTTATTATCTCTTTTAAATGGTGTATAAATATTGTTTATCTCTATAGTATATACATTTTTTAAGTCTATGTACATTTCTTTTACAGATGAATAGGAAAAAGCATATTGAGAGCAAGTCAGTAAATAAAATAGCAGAACCTGACAGTTATGACATTATTTCTGAGAAATGATCATCCTATATAGCAGGGCAGAAAATCTCCCAAATGGGGTGAGGTAAATTTACATCCATGAATACCAGCTGAAGTGTAATACTGAAAGATTCAAAGGTTAAGCCATATTGTTAGAAGTGCTCTGTGTCTTAAAATCAGCAGCTAAAATTCAGACCTCCATAGCAATCAATTCAATACCTTTGACAATCTGTGCTTTTTGGAAACCCTCTGGTTCTTTGGCCTGACTGAGAGTTTGTGCTTTGCTGCGCTGTTGTCCAGGCAAGCGGTGGCCAAAGGGATGGCGTCAAGGTTGACGGTTTCAATGGTTCCAGAAGGGGAATGGTGTCTTTTTGGCCGAGATGACACTTTGACAGGGGTCACCTAGAGAAATCCCAAGAAAAAGGAAAAATGAGGGGAAGAGCTGAGATCCTATATTTAAAGCAAAATGAATTCCAAATCCAGTAATTACTCCAGAAATGAATTCAAAGCCAGGTTTGGCAGTTTCTCTTATTGCTTTCCTTCTTTATTTTTATAACTTCCTGTGCCCCCAAATGGCCTTGATAAGTCTCAGAGAGAGAGCTAGCAACCAGATGACTGCCAGGAATATAAACCCTTCCATTCCCCACCATTCCGTCAGAACTGAAGCAGCTTCTTGGATGAGAAGCAAAACATCTTCAAAGAAAAGACAAAGAAAATCCAGTTGCCTTTTGAAAAAGCATCTTTGGGACAACCATGACCTGGATGACTGAGAATCTCTGTAAAACACTAACTCTATGATTTGACAGAGGGCACCTTTTTTCCCCTCAGGACCACACAATATGGTTTTTCCCCCCCTGAGCTCTCAAGCTCCAGACTCATTGCAATTAAAAGGACTGGAAAATGCATTGGCACAAAACTCATTTCGGCTGAACCAACTTTCAAGAGACTTTCCTTGGATGAAAACTGATTGTTTTGTCACCATGAGTTAACTTCTTCTAAACACCTTCTTCAGTGTTCTTCCACAAACTGAAAAAACAGCAAGGGGAGTGGATTGGAGACCTTTCCCATCATAAATGCCTACCCCTGTGACTGCACACTTAAGAGCTGGTATCAGGCAAGTATTTCTTTGGCTTTCAGGACAGCAAATGTATGACAAAAAGGGCGCCACTTGAACATTCCCCCTGTTAACAAAGCCATGTGACAAAAATCTCTTCAGAATGTTAGCTTTCCCTATGAATGATGTTCCCATATTAATGCCTTACTAGTGAAGTTCTGAACTAAGCTGTGAAGGATCTCTATGCAGACATAGTCTACAATCAAGGTTACTTTGTCAAAAAAATCTGGACTACGACCTGAACAATAGTTTACATCTCAGTGATCCAGGAGGCACAGACGTTATCTGCTCTACTGTAGTAGCGTGGAAGCAAAGGAAAGAGCATGTCTTGGTATGGCTATGGACCAAAAGCTGAAGCTGAGGCAGAGTTTCATGCTATATTCCCAGTTATCCTTTTTATTGCAGCTTGCAGTAATTCTGTCATCACCAAATACTGTAATTCTGATCCATAGGACATTTGGAATTTTGAGACTATATCTGATATGTCTCCCCAAAGAAATGCCATGGGTAAATTCATCTAGTCACAAAATGGCAGCCATTTTGAGTATGGTCAGACCTGAAAGACTACTTTTGATAGCTCCCCAGAACAGTCTATACCAGAGATGGCGAACGTTTTAGAGACCGAGTGCCCAAACTGCAACCCAAACCCCACTTATTTATTGTCGGATGCCAGGTGGGCATGGCCCAGTGGGTGGGCGTGACCACTGGGTGGGCATGACTGCAGTGCTCATGGCGGACTGGGTGGGCGTGGCCACGGTAGGCGTGGCCACCTCGATGGTGCTTGTGGGGAGAGACGCCTGTGGGGGCCAGGCAGGGTTGGGGGAGATCCAGGGGGTCTCTGGCAGATGGGACGGTGGGCAGGAGGCTCGTCCTGCGGGGTGAGGCGAGACCAGGAAGGGGGCAGGGCAGGGGTGCCATTGCCGCAGGGAAAGGGAAGGCAAGGCAGGGATCGGGGCGGCGGCTGCCTGACACCATTGGCCCCCGCACACAGCAAGCGCATGGGGGCCAACTGTGTCCGTCAGCAGCCACAGCCTGCCGGCCCCTCAACTGGCATACTCTGAGGCTCCACAGCCCACTGCGAATACCAGGCCAGCCCTCCAGCAGCAGGCGGAGTAGGGGAGGGGGAATCTGGTATACCAGTTCCTTACCTCCACCCGGCTTGTTCCGTGGCCTCATGGCAGTGGCATTGGGCGCAAGGCAACAAACGGCTAGTTTCAGCGTGACATGGCTGATTGCTGCCAGCCGGGGCCATTTGCCGCCTCGCGCGTCATACCCAATGCCACTGCCATGAGGCTGTGGAACAAGCTGGGCGGAGGTAAAGAGCCTAAGGCGAAAAGGTTTTATAAAACCCAGCTTAAAAAGCCACTTGCCCAGGGACATTTTGATGCAGGTTGCTCATGGACGGGACTTAAGGCCTTGGACTTGGGCGACAACTGCGTCCCCACAGAGAGGGCTCTGCGTGCCACCTGTGGCACACGGGCCATAGGTTCGCCACCACGGGTTTATTTGGTTCAGGTTCTCTTCATCCTTGTTTTCTGAGCAGGTAGCCATACTTTCAAACAAAATATGGGCTACGGGCCGCCATTTGATTTTTTTTAATAATGCCAAGCCCATCCTAGAGAGAAAGATGCTAAAAAAAATAGCACTTTGCTTTGTAGTATGCTAACTTTTCATTTTGGGCGACTGGGTGGGAAGATGGTTAAAATAACTCAAAACTGAAAAAGCAAAATGCCAGGTGGTGCAAAGAAACTGATAGGAACCAACAGAAGGTCAACAGGCACAAGCAATAAATGTCATAAAATGTAAAGCCATACCATGGTTTTATATCTCAATGGCCTACAACTCCAGGTTCAAAATTACCTCAGTCTGAGTTGCCCATTAAGAAATGTGGTTAGACATTTTTGTGTAATTTGTTGCAAATTTTGAAGTGGCCCTTAAGAAATAAGTGCCATTAGTGTCTTATTTCTAATACCTTCTCATCTCTGTCACGACTTGTTTCACCCAGACTTGCGGGACTTAAGGAATCAAGCATCACAGCTGACTAGAAAAAAAAATATGAATATCATACAAAACTATTCCAACCAGATATATTGTAGATTCATACTTTCTAGAAGCACCAAATGCTTTTATATTACAGTCATAATAAGATCCTATTACAATGTTAATCTAATGCCATCTACATTTGTTGGACAAATTGGCTGAATAAACAGATTTGTTCCCTTCTTTTCCAGCAATTTTAAATCATGAGAAGAGAAAACTGGATTGCAAGCCTAAAAGGATGGTTGTTTTTCTATTTTTCATGCTTTACCTTTCATACAATTATGAAAAAACAACTGTAAAAAGTAAGGCGTATAAAAAAAACAATGAATTAATAAGAGGCTAATGAATGTTACTTATAAATGCAGGTGCTACATATTTAAGGGAGTGGGTCAACTGAGTGTGCATTATAATCCAAATATTCTCATCTTTCATTTTTTTAAAAAACAGCTAGTGTCCAGTCCTATCAAAAACTCAGGTTAAAGGCAAAACATGCATTTATTTTCTGTCTCCTTTATTAAAAAGCCTCTTCCTGTTTTGGGTGTTGTTAACCAATGTATAAACAGTCCTAGTCAAAGCTCTTATGCTGTCTGGAGAAGAACATTCCTAGAACATCTTTTAAAAAGTTTTCTCCAGTAGGAAGCATTTGATCTTCATCAATAGCCAAGAAATGTGGGGTTTTAGTGCAGTTATCCTTGGGCAATCATTTTTCTGAGGGATGGGGTATACAAACCGCAGGCCACACACAGTGTGCCAGCCCTATTTTTGTGGCCCTGGAAGACTTCTGTAACCATGCCACCAAAGCAAAATAAGGCACATAGTTTTGTCCATAGATGTCACTAGCAATACTCTCTGTAATCCTGAGAAACAGGAAAAGGCTTTAAAGATGAGATTATGGACCCCCAGGAACAAAGAGTTGTCAACCCCTGATTAAAGCCTTGTATTTCCTATCTTTGTTTCAGTTATTGATAGAATTCATTAGAATCTTTGTTCTGCTCCAGAATGTTTCACTAGAATTAGGTACAACCATCATTCCTTTTTACACAAGCGATCCATCTGTACAATTTTTCCAACTGTTGGCAAAGCAATAGGACAGTGAGCAGATCCTAGAAAAAGGTGGATTTGCCTTCAGGAATTGCAGGCATGGTTTTACGTGTTTGCCTGTGTGTTCTGGAGCATCCCTTGGCCTCTGAATCCAAAACACTGCACGGTTAAAACAACATGTTTCTATTGTTAGTGGTTAGTGGATTATATTAAAGAACTGACTGCACCAGTCAAAAAAATCAGAGCCTATCAAATTTCAGAATTTGCAGAGGCACACAGCGCATGAAGGAACATAAAGCTGTACGTCAACTATATAAAGTAATGCACCTAAGCTACTTAATGTTAAACCTACTAATTTTTCAAGTCACTGAATTGGTACCTACAGATTCTCTCCTGTTGCGGAGACACATGAACTCTTATTTTGCGTAATTACTTGTTAATATTTTCTAAGTTTAACAACATGTATTAACTACATTAGCCCTCAGAATTTAAAGTTACTTATCTGCCTTGAAAAGTCTCCAAGAACTTTCCTATGTTTCAGTAGATGTCATTCTAGCTTCACTGTGAAATACGTTGCTGTGACATGCTTATGTAATACCTCGTCCCCAGGGCTTCACAAGGCAAGTTGTAGAAAATAAAGAGAGCAGGAATGGAGGGGAAGAAAGAGTGGGTTAGATTGAAAAGAAAGAGAGAGTCTGTGAAATGTGCAGCAGCAAACAGGAGAGTAGGTGCTGAAGGAAAAGCAGAGAAGATGAAAATAAGAGAAGTCAGCAGAGCAATGAAAATAAGAAATGCAGAAGGAAGAGAAGAGAAAGTAGAAGAGTGACCCAGAAGAGACATAGACAAGAATCTTCAAAACTCTATTTACATGAGTCAACAGTACAGTACTTTGATATGCTCTAAAAGTCAATTAGACTCTATTATCCCTTAGAACTTTCTCAATCTATCAGTCTAGTTTAAAGTACACTTGACTTGAGATTGATCTAGACTGCTTTAATTTCAGATCTATCCAGACATCAAAATATTAAAAGTTTGTGAATCCAGAACAGTTTTTTTCAAACTTTTTACTCCGGAGGAATCCTTGAAATAATCTCAGAGCTCAAGGAACAACTGCATAAAAATTATCATACTTACAACTCACAGTACAAAATTTATTTATTTTTTAATCATGACTTCTTCTAGAACTTCTAGTGATCTCTCACAGAACCCAAGGACTCCTGAGAAAGTTTGATCTAGATCAGGGGTAGTCAACCTTGGCTCTTTTATGACTCGTGGACTTCAACTCCCAGAATTCCTGAGCCAGCTTAGCTGGCTCAGGAATTCTGGGAATTGAAGTCCACGAGTCATAAAAGAGCCAAGGTTGACTACCCCTGATCTAGATGTTGGAGAGAACTTTTCTCCAATCAGTAGCTACTATTTCTGGCCAATGTCTAAGGACAGATAACTTTATTTAATCAATAAATTGATATAGTCATCCATCTCAACGACTGACTTTAGGCATCAAATAATGGCAAAAAAATAAAAACAGATACATATAGTGTACACAAATTAAAATATACAGCAGCTGATAAGATTACAATGATCATCCACATAAACAGGAGACTGGTCCCTTCATACACTCGGGGACCCAAGTCTAAGCACAGAATCAGGTCTTTAGGGCCTTATGAAAGGACAGCGGGGTCCAGGGCCAAAGTGATCTCTGAAGGGAGAATGTTGTCAACTAATCATTTGTTTTGTATCATTTCAAGCTAGCCCATTACTGAGTTCCTGATCACACTGCTAGAATTCATCAGATTTGTGCCTAAAGAAGCATTTGCTTCCCTCACTGAGAAAATAGAAAGAAGATAAATGGTTAATGTGCCATGTACTTCTGGCTATGTACTGGAAACAATTTGTGGTTTCTTTTACATGAAATCTCAAGAAGCCATTTAAAGGAGAATACGAGAGGGAAATCAATGTTGAAATATAAAGACAAACCACTGAAAATGTTACATTAATCTTCATAGCAAGAATCTCCAGCCCCCTTTCCCATCGCATGCTGGCATAACAGGAGTTCTGTATTTGTGTCTCTTTTCCAACAGTCTGAGTACATTGCTAGAAGGCAAGGCTCTCCATCCATGGGAGCAAAGACCACTGCTTTGCATTCACTGGGTTTAAATGGCATTTCCAGTTCAGTGATAAAATACTTTGAATGTAAGAACCCACCTAACTTGATCACCAGAGGGTTCATTTTGCCCCATTGCTGATATTATACATCAGAGATGTCAAACTCAATTTCATTGAGGGCCGCATCAGCATTGCGGTTGCCCTCGGGGGGCCGGGTGGGTGCGGCCAGGGTGGGTGCGGCTTACTGGGTGGGCGTGAATGGAGTGGGTGTGGCCTACTGGGTGGGCATGGCCAGCTCTACATCGTTCGCGTCAAGGGTGCCTGTGGGGGCCTGGGCAGGAGTGGGACAGATCTGAGGATCTCTGGCAGAAGGGGGTGGGACCAGGGCAAGCGCCAAGGCATGGTCCATTTCTCCATTCCTCACAAAGGGTGACACTTCCCCAGCATGCACCCAGGGGGCAGGGCCGACACAGCACGGGCTGGTTCCTCGCTGTTTCTAGATGGCCTTGTGGAGCTAAGACTGAATGCATTTCAGCATAGATGGCCACCACAAAATTGTACATTGGCTCCCGGACAACCTGGGCCAGGGCCAAGGCAGCAGGGGCCGTTCCCTCACTGTTTCCAGGATGAAACCACTTCGCGGGCCGCATCCGGCCCCTGGGCCTTGTGTTTGACATGTCTGTTATACATGATCTGTAAACAGTGGAGACTTTAGAAGTGTGCAAATCAAGCACCTTTTCCAAGGTTCTACACATTAGGTAATTTCTAATGTTGGTGTAATTTCAGTATATCAGACAGAGATCCCTTTGAAGATATGGTAATGCTTGTAATGAAGATATAAGTTAAGAACAAAATGTATGGTTTGCTTGTCTATGGTTTGCTTTTATTTATGAAGTTTCATTCGTGTACTTTCATAGCTATGTCATGAGTTGAGAAATCAAAGAGTAAAATCAGATACATCAAACTGATGGGAAACAAGAATCAATCATATATAGCTTATGAGTAAATTTTAGAATATTAATAGTTTATTATGAATGAATTTATATTATTTTTAGTAATAATGTTTAATTATATTATTATTTTGCTGGTAAAGTGTTAAGATCTATCTATTTTGTAGAGTTAAAGTATGTATGAGACTTGATTGTAGTATATTTGGGTAATGTTATTTAATTTATGATTCTGTTTTTATAACCCTGTAACCAGCTCTGGGAAGCGGGGGGGAGTGGGTTATTGTATGGAAAATTATTTAAAACTTTTAATAATAAAAAAACAAGAATCAATCATATATGGAATTCTGAATGATATACTCTTCCCAAGATTCTAAAAACTCTAGGACTGCCATTGTCTGAAAGACTCCCAAAGGATGGATTTATTTGCAATACATAATTTAACATCCAGCTAATGTCACTGAACATCTTCTATACGCATAGGTATTAATTCATTTTGGAGCTTGGTAATTGGCTCCTCACCATTAAGTAGACTTACTTTATGGTGGTTCTCTGGAAGGACCACATCTGGTGGCATCACAGTCTCCATGGGGTTATTCAGCAACACATCTGCTTCCAAACTTGCACTAACTTCCCCAGGTGCTTTCACAGAAACTGTCATTTGTGAGGGTTGGCCAAATTTAATATTCTTGGCCAACTGTTGCTGAAAATCAAAATACAATTGTATATTAGACATGGAAGCAGGGACAGCGCTGTTCTTAATTAGATAGCTTGGGTTTAGCAATCAAGGGCATCATTAGGGCAGTGGTTCTCAACCTTTTTAATGCCGCGACCCCCAACCGGTCGTACGTCGAGGACTAAACTGGTCGTAAGTCGAGGACTAAACTGGTTGTAAGTCGAGGACTACCCAACCGGTCGTAAGTCGAGGACTTTCCCTGCCCGGGAGCGCCGCGCATGCGTGGTTCCGCCTCCTGTGCCGGCCGAGGCGTAGCTGGCAAGCGGCAGAGACGGAGCAGGCCGACCACCAGCTGGCCCAGCCCAAGGGAGGTAAGGCACCTGCCGGAAAAGGGGGAAAAAATGGCGGACAGCCTTGCTTGGCGACCCCCGTGAAATGGTCGATCGACCCCAAATGGGGTCGCGACCCATAGGTTGAGAACCGCTGCATTAGGGGCAAGAATGTCAAGATGGCCCCAATGTCAAGAGCCATGGTGGCACAGTGGTTAGAATGCAGTATTGCAGGCTAATTCTGCCAACTGGCAGCAGTTCGATTCTGAACCAGCTCAAGGTTGACTCAGCCTTCCCTCCTTCCAAGGTCCATAAAATGAGGACCTAGACTGTTGGGGGCAATATACTTACTTTACAGCTTAGAGAGGGCTGTAAAGCACTGTGAAGTGGTATATAAGTCTAAATGCTATTGCTAGTGCTATTACTAGGTGATAAAAGTCCCATCCCTTTTTTTTTTAGAAGTTTTGCATGGATCACACATGTAAAAAGCAGCTACAGCTTGAGATACACAATCACATTGGCTTTTTGACACACTGCCCCTGTACACATAAACATCTCTATTAGGAACAATGAGATATAAATATTAAAATGTTAGGTGAAAGAGAAAGCAGTTTCCACAAAAAATAATATAATGTGGGGCTCAACCATCCATACCGCCTTATCACTTTCAAGAAACTACTCTAGGTTTAAAAGGATTTTTCTAGTTACAATGTATCACATAATAGTTAGCAACCTGTCAGTTAAACTAACTTGAGATTGCCAGAGATTACCAGAATCTTAGAGGATCTCACAAGAAGGAGAAAATCTTGATTGATCAGGTTAGATTTCAATTTTCCCCAACTTTCACAAAAGGACACTGCAAACGTCTTGCGAGATTAGTCATTTTTAGCAATTTGGGACACGCACTTTTTCTTTTTCGGTGTCTAGAATTTGAGAATACAGACAGGCAGCCGGGCTTGGATCACAAATTGCAGTTCAGCTGATACGTCAGAATCGGACGATCACTCCATATTCTTCAAGCCGTGTCCACTCTTTCACTCTTTGTCCAACTTTCCTAATGTGGTACCCATACCTGATCCTGATACATTGGCATTTAACTTTTGGCATCCCAAGAGTAAGAGAAGATCTCTTCAGGTGGCTGTACACCTATATCCTGCTTCCTTGAGAACATCTTTTCCTTCTTTTTCCGCTACTTGACCTATTCATGGATATTTTCTCCTCCTTGTCGTTCTCTAGAAAACTACCTCTTGTTCCTAAGAGCTAATTGATCGTGTTCCCATAATCAGGGAACCATGGGCAGGTATATGACTTATATTTCTTGTTTCCCTGTATTTAATGTAAGGTTGAGCCTAATGGATCTTGTCTGCAAATATGTGAGTATAGACGTTTCATCTCATCTCATATTAAGCAATAGGCATTGCCAGCCACTGTTCATAGATGTCTTCAGTTATCTTTTTTTAGCAATGAGTTTCGGTACTTAAGAGGAATCCCTCCCCTTCCCATTATTTTTGGTGTCAAAAGGAATGAACAGGTGGACATGTACTTCTTGTAAGAATTAAACTGTCTTAGAATACATTGCATGGGCAAATGGGTACTTTAGTATTCCCATCTTCAAATTACTAGCTGAACCGTGCTCAGCTGGGAGAGGAGACACTGCCAATTATTTTTATTTTCTAAATTGCAGGGAAATTTTCCGCAAGGTCTCATCTTGCTGTCTGTCATCTGATGTGTGACAACGCATAGGAAATGAGCGCTCGAATAGAAGGGTAAAGAATTGCATGGGATTTTCAAAACAAGATACACAATGAAAAAGTATACAAATTTAGAACAGTTTCTTGTATTACACCAAGGTTTCATGATGCTGCCTGCTAGATTTAACCCTCAAAAATGGTATGACAAATAACAAATCGGATTTAATTGTGTGTGTATGTACGCATGTTGAGCTCAGTTCCTGATGACGGTATCCATGAAATCTTCCCAACAGAGCTGTATAATTGATTTGACACTTTCTTCTCCCAAAATTCTCTCTCTCTCTCTCTCTCTCTCTCTCTCTCTCTCTCTCTCTCTCCCCCTCTCCCTTTCTCTCTCTCTCTCTCCCTCCCTCTCTCTCTCTCTCCCTCTCTCTCCTTCTCCCTCTCTCTCTCTCTCTGTTTTTCCTACTTTTACACTTATTCAATAGCCTTGAAATTACCAGGTAATCCTCAATCCAAGCAATAACTTAACTCTGCTGAGTTCTGGAGCGCAATCAAGGTTGTCTATAGTTGCAAGACACCTTACGCAAACTCTTTGATATTTAGAGAACTTACAGATTTTATCTTAGAGGTATTTAAGCTTCATGTGGAATGGTATACACTCTAATAGCCACATCTGTCCCCACTATTTTTACATTTTCTTTTTCTCCACATGCAAAACCTGTGACAATTGCCCTATTATATGGGTTAAGAAGAGATCAAATAAGACATTAATATGCCTCAAGAATGCAAAATGCCATTTTGAGGGAGTCCAGGATGAAGGATTAAGAGAAAACTTAATGAAGTACTTATACAGGTTGGATGCCGTGGTTTCACAAAATAATTTTCAAATGCATTTTTTAAAAGTTGGGGTGTTTTTTACGTATCTGTCTTAACAAATAAGAAAACTGACATCTCAAAGGATCCCAATGTTTCTTCTCCTTTTCTTTTGATCAGAGAAAGGTAGTGCATCACTCCGCTGGTTCCTTTCTGAAGACAACATATTTTGTAGATGTTCCTTGTTCTTTCATAAAAATTCTCTGTGAAGTATTTAGCAGATTGGAATTTCTAAATTTTCAAAGCTACGATCCTCCAAAAATCCTGGATCACAACTTTCATTAATTTTCAAGCATTGCAAAGGGACAGATTGGGAAAGGCTGATTTTGAGCAGGTTCAGGCATTTTTTTCCCCCATCTTCAGCCTTTATGATTGTGTTTTTATTCCACTGAAATCTTTGGGGCAAGTTAACCTTCAGATGTAAATCAACGTGGGCCTCCTATTCTATGGACGTTATGGTGCTGCCTGCTCAAGTGCTCCGAATATCGAAAAAGGCTTCTGAATGGATCTATTGTTGGGAACAGTATGGGCTTTTCAAAGGCAATTGTTCAATGCATTCCTCTGTATTAAAGAAATGTATTGTAATCTGAAAGAGTTTGAAAGGCACGAAGCCATCAAGCAAATAAACAAGCAAGCTGGGATACACTATGTTTTTATCTGGCTTTATTGAGATTTCCCTACCATAGAATATTTGCCATAGCTATCTATTAGCGATATCAGTATAAATATGTGATGAATGAACTCTTTAGGGCTGTTTTAATTGCAAGAGCAGCATCTGGTAACTTTCTTTCCTTCAACATTTTAGAGCAGGGGTGTCAAACTCACAACGTCACGTGACGTGTTGGTGCAACTTTTTTTCCATTGCCGGCAATGGGGTGGGTGCGGTTTCGGTATGATGCATCCGGCCCATGGGGCGGCAGTTTGGCACCCCTGTTTTAGAGAGTACTTTGTTAAAAACAATTTCAGTTTTCTTTCCGTATCTCTGAGAGCTGAGATAATTTAAAATATCTTTTTTATTTCTGTTCCACCATTTGTTTATAATGAGATATTCTTTTAATAGGAATAACACACTCTAAATCAGGGATGTCAAACTCAATTTCATTGAGGGCCGCATCAGCATTGCGGTTGCCCTCGGGGGGGTGTGGCCAGGGTGGGTGTGACCTACTGAGTGGGCGTGGATGGAGTGGGTGTGGCCTACTGGGTGGGCATGGCCAGCTCTACATCGTTCGCGTCAAGGGTGCCTGTGGGGGCCTGGGCAGGAGTGGGACAGATCTGAGGGTCTCTGGCAGAAGGGGGTGGGACCGGGGCAAGTGCCAAGGCATGGTGTATTTCTTCATTCCTCACAAAGGGGTGACACCTCCCCAGCATGCACCCAGGGGGCGGGGCCAATGCGGCAGGGGCTGGTTCCTCGCTGTTTCTGGACGGCTAAGACTGAATGCATTTCAGCATAGATGGCTACCACAAAATTGTACATTGGCTCCTGGCCGGCCTGGGCCAGGGCCAAGGCAGCGGGGGCTGTTCCCTCACTGTTTCTAGGATGGCTTCGCGGGCCACATGAAACCACTTCGCGGGCCGCATCCGGTCTCCGGGCCTTGTGTTTGACATGTCTGCTCTAAATATTAATGCAATGGAAGAGTCTCTTCATATGTCCACTAAAGGCAGTGACATTTCTGATTGGCTTTGCTCGTAATCTGTGATCTTGCTAAAAAATAATTTTCTGATGGAACGCAGAGAATCTCAGACACCCTACTGAGTCATTTGTCAATGCACGTCTGCTATTTATGTCAGAGGCTGATATAAGATTGGATTAGTTTTATTTACAGGCATCTTCTGGAATCTAAGGACGTGGATTTATTGGAAGCATGTTGTGTATGTTGGTCAAATGTTAAAATGGATGGAAACATTTTAATTTGTGAAAATGCAGGTAGACAATGCAGCAAGTTGACTGCAGTGGGAATGGTAGTTTTGAAAAGTGTGACCGTAGAACAAGAAAAGATATAGTCAAAAATGTATGGATAATAAATGAACACAAGATTGAATGCCCAAGGGAGTGACAGGTGTGAAACAGGTGTGAAACAAGTAGACTGAAGTGATGTCCTTTAGAAAAAATAAACTGAGAATCAAAAAGAACAAGTATGTGAAGGCAGAATGAAGGGGAGAAACAAGGAGATGTGGCTGGATGGAGTTGACCCTTAAAAAAGCAGGGTGAAACTCCCAAAACAGTAAACTTTAAAAGAGAAAAAGCAGTGTAGAATTGGTGGATAAATCTCAATGGCATCAAGAGGATGAAGGCTTCATTTGCACTCCCTCAACAGCCATCTTGACTTTTTTCCGGTCTCCCTACAAACATCTAATGAGCAAGGATGGTTTACAAGGACAGAACAGCAGGAACAGTTCTAAAGAACCGTGGGTAGATTTAGCTTATTTCTTTTCCTTCTTTTTTTTTTATTGAAAATTTTATAAAATTTTACAATATAAATCCCCCCTCCCCCAAACCCAACCCTCCATCCCTCCCCCCCTCACTTCCCAGAGCCAATCACAGGGTTAACAATAAAATAATCATAATCTAACTAACATTAATCAACTATTAATCTAACAAATCTATAACTTCCTTTAACTCTCTTTTAAAACAAATATACNATCTGTAAACAGTGGAGACTTTAGAAGTGTGCAAATCAAGCACCTTTTCCAAGGTTCTACACATTAGGTAATTTCTAATGTTGGTGTAATTTCAGTATATCAGACAGAGATCCCTTTGAAGATATGGTAATGCTTGTAATGAAGATATAAGTTAAGAACAAAATGTATGGTTTGCTTGTCTATGGTTTGCTTTTATTTACGAAGTTTCATTCGTGTACTTTCATAGCTATGTCATGAGTTGAGAAATCAAAGAATAAAATCAGATACATCAAACTGATGGGAAACAAGAATCAATCATATATAGCTTATGAGTAAATTTTAGAATATTAATAGTTTATTATGGATGAATTTATATTATTTTTAGTAATAATGTTTAATTATATTATTATTTTGCTGGTAAAGTGTTAAGATCTATCTATTTTGTAGAGTTAAAGTATGTATGAGACTTGATTGTAGTATATCTGGGTAATGTTATTTAATTTATGATTCTGTTTTTATAACCCTGTAACCAGCTCTGGGAAGCGGGGGGGGGGGGGGGGGGGAGGGAAGTGGGTTATTGTATGGAAAATTATTTAAAACTTTTAATAATAAAAAAACAAGAATCAATCATATATGGAATTCTGAATGATATACTCTTCCCAAGATTCTAAAAACTCTAGGACTGCCATTGTCTGAAAGACTCCCAAAGGGTGGATTTATTTGCAATACATAATTTAACATCCAGCTAATGTCACTGAACATCTTCTATACGCATAGGTATTAGTTCATTTTGGAGCTTGGTAATTGGCTCCTCACCATTAAGTAGACTTACTTTATGGTGGTTCTCTGGAAGGACCACATCTGGTGGCATCACAGTCTCCATGGGGTTATTCAGCAACACATCTGCTTCCAAACTTGCACTAACTTCCCCAGGTGCTTTCACAGAAACTGTCATTTGTGAGGGTTGGCCAAATTTAATATTCTTGGCCAACTGTTGCTGAAAATCAAAATACAATTGTATATTAGACATGGAAGCAGGGACAGCGCTGTTCTTAATTAGATAGCTTGGGTTTAGCAATCAAGGGCATCATTAGGGCAGTGGTTCTCAACCTTTTTAATGCCGCGACCCCCAACCGGTCGTACGTCGAGGACTAAACTGGTTGTAAGTCGAGGACTAAACTGGTTGTAAGTCGAGGACTACCCAACCGGTCGTAAGTCGAGGACTTTCCCTGCCCGGGAGCGCCGCGCATGCGTGGTTCCGCCTCCTGTGCCGGCCGAGGCGTAGCTGGCAAGCGGCAGAGACGGAGCAGGCCGACCACCAGCTGGCCCAGCCCAAGGGAGGTAAGGCACCTGCCGGAAAAGGGGGAAAAATGGCGGACAGCCTTGCTTGGCGACCCCCGTGAAATGGTCGATCGACCCCAAATGGGGTCGCGACCCATAGGTTGAGAACCGCTGCATTAGGGGCAAGAATGTCAAGATGGCCCCAATGTCAAGAGCCATGGTGGCACAGTGGTTAGAATGCAGTATTGCAGGCTAATTCTGCCAACTGGCAGCAGTTCGATTCTGAACCAGCTCAAGGTTGACTCAGCCTTCCCTCCTTCCAAGGTCCATAAAATGAGGACCTAGACTGTTGGAGGCAATATACTTACTTTACAGCTTAGAGAGGGCTGTAAAGCATTGTGAAGTGGTATATAAGTCTAAATGCTATTGCTAGTGCTATTGCTATAACTAGGTGATAAAAGTCCCGTCCCATTTTTTTTAGACGTTTTGCATGGATCACACATGTAAAAAGCAGCTGCAGCTTGAGACACACAATCACATTAGCTTTTTGACACACTGCCCCTGTACACACAGACATCTCTATTAGGAACGAGATATAAATATTAAAATGTTAGGTGAAAGAGAAAGCAATTTCCACAAAAAGTAATATAATGTGGGGCTCAACCATCCATACCGCCTTATCACTTTCAAGAGACTACTCTAGGTTTAAAAGGATTTTTCTAATTACAATGTATCACATAATAGTTAGCAACCTGTCAGTTAAACTAACTTTTTATTTTTTTTTAAAAAAAAAATTCCAATTATTTTGAGATTGCCAGAGATTACCAGAATCTTAGAGGATCTCACAAGAAGGAGAAAATCTTGATTGATCAGGTTAGATTTCAATTTTCCCCAACTTTCACAAAAGGACACTGCAAACGTCTTGCGAGATTAGTCATTTTTAGCAATTTGGGACACACGCTTTTTCTTCTCCGGTGTCTAGAGTTTGAGAATACAGACAGGCAGCCGGGCTTGGATCACAAATTGCAGTTCAGCTGATACTTCAGAATCGGACGATCATTCCATATTCTTCAAGCCGTGTCCACTCTTTCACTCTTTGTCCAACTTTCCTAATGTGGTACCCATACCTGATCCTGATACATTGGCATTTAACTTTTGGCATCCCAAGAGTAAGAGAAGATCTCTTCAGGTGGCTGTACACCTATATCCTGCTTCCTTGAGAACATCTTTTCCTTCTTTTTCCGCTACTTGACCTATTCATGGATATTTTCTCCTCCTTGTCGTTCTCTAGAAAACTACCTCTTGTTCCTAAGAGCTAATTGATCGTGTTCCCATAATCAGGGAACCATGGGCAGGTATATGACTTATATTTCTTGTTTCCTGTATTTAATGTAAGGTTGAGCCTAATGGATCTTGTCTGCAAATATGTGAGTATAGACGTTTCCTCATCTCATATTAAGCAATAGGCATTGCCAGCCACTGTTCATAGATGTCTTCAGTTATCTTTTTTTAGCAATGAGTTTCGGTACTTAAGAGGAATCCCTCCCCTTCCCATTATTTTTGGTGTCAAAAGGAATGAACAGGTGGACATGTACTTCTTGTAAGAATTAAACTGTCTTAGAATACATTGCATGGGCAAATGGGTACTTTAGTATTCCCATCTTCAAATTACTAGCTGAACCGTGCTCAGCTGGGAGAGGAGACACTGCCAATTATTTTTATTTTCTAAATTGCAGGGAAATTTTCCGCAAGGTCTCATCTTGCTGTCTGTCATCTGATGTGTGACAACGCATAAGAAATGAGCGCTCGAATAGAAGGGTAAAGAATCGCATGGGATTTTCAAAACAAGATACACAATGAAAAAGTATACAAATTTAGAACAGTTTCTTGTATTACACCAAGGTTTCATGATGATGCCTGCTAGATTTAACCCTCAAAAATGGTATGACAAATAACAAATCGGATTTAATTGTGTGTATATGTACGCATGTTGAGCTCAGTTCCTGATGACGGTATCCATGAAATCTTCCCAACAGAGCTGTATAATTGATCTGACACTTTCTTCTCCCAAAATTCTCTCTCTCTCTCCCTTTCTCTCCCTCTCTCTCTCTCTCTCTCTCTCTCTCTCTCTCTCTCTCTCTCCCTCTCCCTTTCTCTCTCTCTCTCTCGTTTTTCCTATTTTTACACTTATTCAATAGCCTTGAAATTATCAGGTAACAGGTAATCCTCAATCCAAGCAATAACTTAACTCTGCTGAGTTCTGGAGCGCAATCAAGGTTGTCTATAATTGCAAGACACCTTACGCAAACTCTTTGATATTTAGAGAACTTACAGATTTTATCTTAGAGGTATTTAAGCTTCATGTGGAATGGTATACACTCTGATAGCCACATCTGTCCCCCACTATTTTTACATTTTCTTTTTCTCCACATGCAAAACCTGCGACAATTGCCCTATTATATGGATTAAGAAGAGATTAAATAAGACATTAATATGCCTCAAGAATGCAAAATGCCATTTTGAGGGAGTCCAGGATGAAGGATTAAGAGAAAACTTAATGAAGTACTTATACAGGTTGGATGCCGTGGTTTCACAAAATAATTTTCAAATGCATTTTTTAAAAGTTGAGGTGTTTTTTATGTATCTGTCTTAACATATAAGAAAACTGACATCTCAAGGGATCTCAATGTTTCTTCTCCTTTTCTTTTGATCAGAGAAAGGTAGTGCATCACTCCGCTGGTTCCTTTCTGAAGACAACATATTTTGTAGATGTTCCTTGTTCTTTCATAAAAATTCTCTGTGAAGTATTTAGCAAATTGGAATTTCTAAATTTTCAAAGCTACGATCCTCCAAAAATCCTGGATCACAACTTTCATTAATTTTCAAGCATTGCAAAGGGACAGATTGGGAAAGGCTGATTTTGAGCAGGTTCAGGCATTTTTTCCCCCATCTTCAGCCCTTATGATTGTGTTTTTATTCCACTGAAATCTTTGGGGCAAGTTAACCTTCAGATGTAAATCAATGTGGGCCTCCTATTCTATGGACATTATGGTGCTGCCTGCTCAAGCGCTCCGAATATCGAAAAAGGCTTCTGAATGCATCTATTGTTGGGAACAGTATGGGCTTTTCAAAGGCAATTGTTCAATGCATTCCTCTGTATTAAAGAAATGTATTGTAATCTGAAAGAGTTTGAAAGGCACGAAGCCATCAAGCAAATAAACAAGCAAGCTGGGATACACTATGTTTTTATCTGGCTTTATTGAGATTTCCCTACCATAGAATATTTGCCATAGCTATCTATTAGCGATATCAGTATAAATATGTGATGAATGAACTCTTTAGGGCTGTTTTAATTGCAAGATCAGCATCTGGTTACTTTCTTTCCTTCAACATTTTAGAGCAGAGGTGTCAAACTCACAACGTCACGTGACGTGTCGGTGCAACTTTTTTTCCATTGCCGGCAATGGGGTGGGTGCGGTTTTGGTATGATGCATCCGGCCCATGGGCCGGCAGTTTGACACCCCTGTTTTAGAGAGTATTTCGTTAAAAACAATTTCAGTTTTCTTTCCGTATCTCTGAGAGCTGAGATAATTTAAAATATCTTTTTTATTTCTGTTCCACCATTTGTTTATAATGAGATATTCTTTTAATAGGAATAACACACTCTAAATCAGGGATGTCAAACTCAATTTCATTGAGGGCCGCATCAGCATTGCGGTTGCCCTCAGGGGTGTGTGTGTGTGTGTTGCCAGGGTGGGTGTGGCCTACTGAGTGGGCGTGGGTGGAGTGGGTGTGGCCTACTGGGTGGGCATGGCCAGCTCTACATCGTTCGCGTCAAGGGTGCCTGTGGGGGCCTGGGCAGGAGTGGGACAGATCTGAGGGTCTCTGGAAGAAGGGGGTGGGACCAGGGCAAGTGCCAAGGCATGGTGTATTTCTTCATTCCTCACAAAGGGGTGACACCTCCCCAGCATGCACCCAGGGGGCGGGGCCAATGAGGCAGGGGCTGGTTCCTCGCTGTTTCTGGACGGCTAAGACTGAATGCATTTCAGCATAGATGGCCACCACAAAATTGTACATTGGCTCCTGGCCGGCCTGGGCCAGGGCCAAGGCAGCGGGGGCTGTTCCCTCACTGTTTCTAGGATGGCTTCGCGGGCCACATGAAACCACTTCGCGGGCCGCATCCGGTCTCCGGGCCTTGTGTTTGACATGTCTGCTCTAAATATTAATGGAATGGAAGAGTCTCTTCATATGTCCACTAAAGGCAGTGACATTTCTGATTGGCTTTGCTCGTAATCTGTGATCTTGCTAAAAAATAATTTTCTGATGGAACACAGAGAATCTCAGACACCCTACTGAGTCATTTGTCAATGCACGTCTGCTATTTATGTCAGAGGCTGATATAAGATTGGATTAGTTTTATTTACAGGCATCTTCTGGAATCTAAGGACGTGGATTTATTGGAAGCATGTTGTGTATGTTGGTCAAATGTTAAAATGGATGGAAACATTTTAATTTGTGAAAATGCAGGTAGACAATGCAGCAAGTTGACTGCAGTGGGAATGGTAGTTTTGAAAAGTGTGACCGTAGAACAAGAAAAGATATAGTCAAAAATGTATGTATAATAAATGAACACAAGATTGAATGCCCAAGGGAGTGACAGGTGTGAAACAGGTGTGAAACAAGTAGACTGAAGTGATGTCCTTTAGAAAAAATAAACTGAGAATCAAAAAGAACAAGTATGTGAAGGCAGAATGAAGGGGAGAAACAAGGAGATGTGGCTGGATGGAGTTGACCCTTAAAAAAGCAGGGTGAAACTCCCAAAATAGTAAACTTTAAAAGAGAAAAAGCAGTGTAGAATTGGTGGATAAATCTCAATGGCATCAAGAGGATGAAGGCTTCATTTGCACTCCCTCAACAGCCATCTTGACTTTTTTCCGGTCTCCCTACAAACATCTAATGAGCAAGGATGGTTTACAAGGACAGAACAGCAGGAACAGTTCTAAAGAACCGTGGATAGATTTAGCTTATTTCTTTTCCTTCTTTTTTTTTTATTGAAAATTTTATAAAATTTTACAATATAAATCTCCCCCTCCCCCAAACCCAACCCTCCATCCCTCCCCCCCTCACTTCCCAGAGCCAATCACAGGGTTAACAATAAAATAATCATAATCTAACTAACATTAATCAACTATTAATCTAACAAATCTATAACTTCCTTTAACTCTCTTTTAAAACAAATATACAATTATTAAATACCATAATAACATAATTTTGAATATTAAAAATAAAACTAAATAACATTATAACTTTTAAACAAAAATAATACTCTAAAATTCATTCAAAAACCAAATGATATTTTTTTGTTCCATATTTAAACTCAATATAATCAATCCATCTTCTCCAAACCAATATATATCTTTCTTTTCCTTCTTATATCCAGCTCTACACCAGGAATTGAACTCATGTATTTTGGGGATTTAATGGAGATCATATTGTAACTATATTAACAGGTAGGACCACAAGGGAGCCCAAAATTTATGCTGTTAAGTGAGACATTTGTTAAGTGAGTTTTGTCCGTTTTACGACCTTTTTTGCCACAGTTGTTAAATGGATCACTGCACTTGTTCAGTTAGTAACGTGGTTGTTAAGTGACTCTGGCATCCCCACTGACTTTGCTTGTCAGAAGGTCGCAAAAGGTGATCGCGTGATCAGCTGGGACACTGCAACAGTCATAAATATGTCATAAGCGCCTGAATCGGTCATAAGCATGAAAAACGATCGTAAGTCACTTTTTTCAGTGCCGTTGTAATTTTGAATGATCACTGTTGTAAGTCGAGGACTTCCTGTTTAAACTTCTGTTAAATATTTACCTTCTCAAAGGCTGCCAGTTTGGGGTCTTTTGGAAGACATTAGTAGTACTTACCAGAGCCAAGCAGAACTCTTTAAGAGAGCTGATGGCATGTAACCTTTTTAATTTAATGAATAAATTAAAACTTCCTTTTAAAATACCTATACATTCCCCCAATGTCATTACAGTATAAATATCTCGGATAATCAAGATTGACACATATGCTTCCTGTTTTCCATTCATATGCCCTTCACGCACTATAATAGTAAGATACGTCTTTCAAGCATATTATTGAAACTTGTTTTTCTTTGCCTCATTTAGTGGTTAATTATTCAAACCTGATCTAATCAAGATTTAAATCCTCGATCGCCTCTTAGTCCTATAGCAACCATATGTTTTGCTCACTGAAACTTCCGATTGAAAAGGACAGAATCATTTAGAAATCCTTTGGACGGCGACGGGAAGAAGTGTTTCTGTCAGCAGGGGAAAAATTAGGAGTTTATCCAGGCAGAGCAAACTTCCATATGGCTGGCAGATTTACTCCCCCCCAAAAAAGTTCTATTTATTTTTTCTTAAAGTACTGAAGCGTAAAATTACAGGAGGGACTTGAAAAATGGAGAGAATTCTGAAGATGAAATTCCTTTTCAGTCTCTCTCAGGGGATGGGCACCATATCTGTTGCGCATACCCAGAAAGTATGCAAGCTTGGTGAAATGTGTTATTTGTTTTCATGATTTCATGATTTACTTCTTAAATCTGCCTACCCACTCATCAACTACGTTTCTCTCTGCCGAGCAGCACCATTGTGGAGGACTGAGATGATATGATTTACTATGGTGTTTCCTCTTAGTTTGCCTTCCTCCTTCCTCCGTTCATTCGTATTCCCTCAGAAATTCCACATCCAGGTGTGTTGTCTTGATGAACTATATGGGCTATGTATTCTGCAGGATCCAATCTGGGCCTTCCAAGTTTTCAGACTCATTCTAGAGCCCATCCTCAGGAAACTTCTCTCTGGCAGTGTGTGTGCTTTGGGCTATTCTGCGTGTGGTATTTATAGGGTGCCTGTTGTGTGTGACTTTTTATATGTAGATTGGGGTGTTGATGGCTGGCTATTAAGCCATTGGCTGTTGTTTCCATGGGCCACACCTACCCAATGGGCCACACCCACCCGGCACCCGACGATACATAAGTGGGTTTTGGGCTGCAGACTGGGCACTCGATCTCTAAAAGGTTCGCCATCACTGCTCTAGAATATAATAGAGACCAGCAAAGCAGTAAAAAAGGGATTTTTTTCATTTTAAAGTTGGTTGCTGTCCTTCCACATACACACAGTTTGATGTTTTAACTTGGTGAATGATGTGGAGGGATGCATGGCTGACTGGGTCAGCTGCCGCCTTACGCTTGCTTGTGTGCTTCGCTACCACGCGGTGGCAGTCTGCCATGAACTCTGGGGAGAGTGCATGGGAGAGGGAATGGCTTGGTGGAAAGCGAAAGTAACTGCTGTATCTTCCCAAGAGGCTGCTTCAAGGTCACCCAATTGGGAGAAGAAGTCAGCTGCATACCAACCTATGCTTGAGGTGTCCAGTCTGAAAACATCTTGTCTTGTCTTACTTGAACTTGATTGGCTATGGGGGGAGGGGGTTCAGCAATGGGAGGCAGTTAAAAGAGGGAAAAGTTGGACTTAGGGATTTAGGCGCAGGATTCTCAATTCTGGCTATGCATTATTGCACTACACTTGACTTCTAATAAAATTATACTTTTCTCAACAAATGGAGCCAAGGGTCATTTCTATTTAAAGGTTTTAGTGCCGGCAGGTCTGACACGATTGGGTGATGTGCACATGCACTTTTATGTAAATATGTATATTCACACGTACGCACAAATACACAGAAAGCTCCACCCACAGAAAAGAAGGCAATTGACAGCGGAAATTGTCTTAGGGAAGACATGGTAGCCAGCTGTTTCGAATTAATACTTAATTAATACCGTGCTCAAGTGTCTCTATCCAGACAGGCTTTTTTAAAACTGGCTGTCATGCCTCCATCCGAGCCTGACTCTGAGGATGACATGGAGTTCCCTGTTGAGGCCCAGGAGGGGGTGTCTGTGGCTTCAGAGGACTGTGGGGAGGAGCAGGCTGAAGCAGGCCAGGGCCTTTCAAGTTTAGAACAGGGAAGGCAAAGCTCAGGCGAGGAGCAAGGCCCCTCCCCACCAGATCCCAGAGCAAGGAGAGCAGATAGGAGGAGGGAACAACGGAGGCAGGCTCACTTGCTCGGGAGGAGAGCATCCCGCCCCACTCCACAAGGCACACCTGGGGAGTAGGTATTTAAGGAAACGCTGTGGGGTGGGGCATTTGCCGGGAACAAACGTGAACTCTTGTGATGTGAGCTCTTGAACCTGGACTCTTGGTATTTTGGATCAAGTTTGTTTCCTGCTGAGTTCTCCTAGCTGTCCTCAGTTTTGCACTTTGCAGGTTACAGGCAAGCTGGGCGTGGAAAAGATCATACTTTGTTTGTTATCTGTTTTACTTTAAAGAACTGTTTAACTCCATTGACTGTTTTAGCATATGTGGGGGCTGTTGGGTGAACGTTGGCAATGCTTACAAAGAGAATTGTTCTGACCAGCTAATTGCTTTGCCTCCGTTCGGGGCCCTTGGTCATCACACTGGCTTAGGAGTTGAACCACATCAAGAAATAATAGGAAATGCTCAAAGACATAGAGCATATAACCACACAACCAAGCTCAGAGAGCACCAAGGACCCCACAGTTCAACCCTGAGCTGCAAATATTCCCTTCAGTTGGTAGGACACCGTGTGGCTATGGTTTCACTTCTTTCCTCCTTTCCAACTCAAGAGCATGGATCTCCAAACTGGGCAACTTTAAGACTTGTGGACTTCAACTCCCAGAATTCCCCAGCCAGCCGTGCTGGGGAACGTTTGGAGACCCCTGCTCCAGAGTCTTTATTAGATTGTGGGATGATACAATCAGAAAGCAGATGAATTTAAACTCTTACATGGAAGCCCAACGTTTGCTCCGTGTTACCTGAAGAGTTTTGACTTTGCCAACGAGATTATCTTGTGACATTGCTTGAATGGACTCTTCGCTCTCTGCTCGCCCATCAGGCATAAAAATACTCTCATGGGAAAAGGCCCGTGTTCCCATGCTATAGCTGGGAGACCTGAAAGACAATTTGGATACACAGGATTTTAGGTATACCCTAAATTACCAACACAGTGGGCTACTGCTGGACTTTCTTTTTTCTGCTACCAGGCCATTTTTCAATATCTCTGAATATATAATACATTTTTTTTCAGAGGAATGGATTTATTTATTATTTATTGTTCGAATTTATATCCCGCCGATTTACTACACCTTTACTTTCATTGCTTACATAATGGCTATGCACTGTACCCAAATGCCAGAGCTCCTACACAAGTTGCTATCAAATTATAATTTGTATTACAAAAGAAAAATGTCTTAGTCCAGTGGTGGCGAACCTATGGCACGGGTGCCACAGGCGACACGCAGAGCCCTCTCTGTGGGCACGCGCGCCATCGCCCCAGTCCTAGGCCTTCAGCTGGGTTTTATAAAACCTTTTTGCTTTAGGCCTCTGCTGCCGTGTGCAAAAAAAAACACGGTTCAATCACTCAATCAATTTCAACTTCTCGCAGGAAAAGAAAAGATCTCGCAAAGTTGGAATTGATTGATTGAACTTTTTAGTCCCACCCAGTCTGCTGTTACCACCGCAGCCACACCCACCCAATGGGCCACGCCCACCCGGCACCCAACAATACATAAGTGGGTTTTGGGTTGCAGTTTGGGCACTCGGTCTGTAAAAGGTTCGCCATCACTGTCTTAGTCCATGGGGACCAACTCTGATAACCGTATGCCATGAATTTCATTCAACTTACATTGTATTTAAAACAGATTAAGTTCAGTCACATTTTAATTTGGCCTTGTCCCTGCCCATTGCTTTGCTGCTGTCACTTTCACGCTTGCAACTGCAGTTGCCCACGTGCAACCTAAAAGCCAAATATGGTTCTTGACTTGAAAAAAGACTCAGCACCTGTGGCTTAAACATTCACCACAAGAACATTCAGTGAATATGACAAGGAACAGCTCTGCAGAACCAGATTATTCAAAAAGGCCATTATCTGGCATTAGAGGCAAGCCAGGCCTGTGGCCTCGTCCGGACTATAGCTTCATCATCGTTGACGATTCCTTATGAGGGTGGCTACAGGTAGTCCTTGACTTACCACCACAATTGAGCACAACATTTCTATTGCTAAGTGAAACATTAGTTAAGTGAATTGTGCTCCATTTTACAACCTTTCTTGTCACAATGGTTAAGTGAACCACTGCAGTTGTTAATTTAGTAACATGGTTGTTAAGCAGATCTGGTTTCCCCATTGACTTTGCTTGTCAGAAGGTCGCAAAAGGAGATCACATGACTCCAGGACACTGCAATGGTCATAAATATGAATCAGAGGCCAAGCATATGAATTTTGATGACGTGACCATGGGGATGCTGCAATGGTAGTAAGTGTGAAAAACAGTCATAAGTCCCTATTATCAGCACCACTGTAACTTTGAACAGTCACTAAATGAACTATTATAAGTTGAGAAGTACCTGTACTTACCAGAAATAGGGTCTATAGACTATCAATTTCTGTATGGGCAATAGCGTTTCGTTATCTTTCCTCCTGATGGGTGGGGAATTCTGGGATTTGAAATCCATATATTTAAATTGGATGTGGTTTAAAACAAGGCTTTTCAACCAGTGGTACGGGTACCACCTGTGGTACATTGGCACCTGGCAGGTGGTACGCGACCATCCTAGAAAAGTGGTAGCAGGGGAGGGGAATGAGCTGAACAGTGGTAGCACCACACAAGCCTGAGCGAGAGATGGCTGGAGCTGCAAGGCTATCAGGGCTCAGCGGAAGCGCCAAGATCAGCTACAGGCTCCAGCTGGAGCTCGGCGCTGATCCTGGTGCTTCTGTTAAGTCCAGAAGAAGCGCCGATCAGCTGGAATGTTGCAGCATCTCCAGGGTCTTGTGGTTTACATTCAGATGCTTGGCAACTGATTCATATTTATGACGGTCACAGTGTCCCAGGGTCATGTGAAGTGACCAAAACCTGCTGCAGCCACCCAGCAGACGGGGGGAATAAAAAGCAAACAACCCCCATCCCACCCCTACTGCCAATCCTCAACAGAAATGCTCACAACAATGGAAACGGAGGAAGAGCGCCACTAGGTGGGCAGGCAGGTGTCTTGCTCAGCTGTGGCTTGGGGGGCACTTTTTTCAGTGCCATTGTAACTTCAAACAGTCACTAAGCGAACTGTTCTAAGTCGAGGACTACCTGTACTTTATCACTTTTTTCCTTTTTTTTTTTAGTCATCAAGTTTTTGACACCTTGCTAGGCGACTGGTGGTACTCGGATGTTGCCATATCCTAAAAGTGGTACAATGGGTGAAAAGGTTGAAAAGCCCTGGTTTAGAAACACTGGTCTACAAGATGGTGACACCAGGTTTGCTGCAACTACATACTAGTCCTGGTGACCATAATTCTTTGGATTTTTTAATACCAAATTAACTGAAGGATTACAGCTTGCTTTATGAGTAGTTCTATTGCAATTAGTCGTCTTTTATCTTTTTTCTTTTCTAGGCCAGGGCTTTTCAACCTTTTCACCCATTGTACCACTTTTAGGATATGGCAACATCCAAGTACCACTAGTCGCCTAGCAAGATGTCAAAAACTTGATGACCCCCCCCAAAAAAAGGAAAAAAGTGATAAAGTACAGGTAGTCCTCGACTTACAACAGTTCGCTTAGTGACTGTTCAAAGTTACAATGGCACTGAAAAAAGTGCCCCCCAAGGAACAGCCGAGCAAGACACCTGCCTGCCCGCCCACCCGCGCTCTTCCTCCTGTCCGAAGTTTTCATTGTTGTAAGCATTTCTGTTGAGGATTGGCAGCGGGGGTGGGGGGGTGTTTGGTTTTTATTCCCCCCATCTGCTGGGTGGTTGCAGCAGGTTTTGGTCACTTCACATGAACCTGGGACACTGTGACCGTCATAAATATGAATCAGTTGCCAAGCATCTGAATGTAAATCACAAGACCCTGGAGATGATGCAACATTCCAGCTGATTGGCGCTTCTTCTGGGCTCAGCAGAAGCACCAGGATCAGCGCTGAGATCCAGCTAGAGCCTGGCGCTGATCCTGGCACTTCCGCTGAGCCCTGACAGCCCTGCAGCTCCAGCCATCTCTCGCTCAGGCTTGTGCGGTGCTGCCACCGGTTCAGCTTATTCCCCTCCCCTGCAACCACTTTTCTAGGATGGTTGCGTACCACCTGCCAGGTGCCAATGTACCACAGATGGTACCCGTACCACTGGTTGAAAAGCCCTGTTCTAGGCATCTTTATGATGTTGAACCTTTCATGATATGGACCTGTTCATGATATGGACCAGTGGAACAGCTTGCTTTCCAAAGTGGTGGGCGCTTCATCACTGGAGGTTTTTAAGAAGAGACTGGACAGTCACTTGTCTGAAATGGTATGGGGTCTCCTGCTTGAGCAGGGGGTTGGACTAGAAGACCCGCAAGGCCCCTTCCAGCCTCTATTCTGAATTGAGCTGAATCTACATTAGAAACAGAATTCCAAATATGGCAATATAACTGTGCTGTGGTCCTACTGTGCTTTGAACAATTCTAAGAACACGATCATTCCAAAAAGATCAAGTTGTTATCACCTATTTTTAGAGTGCAGGAATCTGCCTCCCACTCCCATATTGAAGCATGCACAAATAGAAATGAAAACATGTAAAAGATGAATAACGTTATGGGTGACCCTGCTTGCAAAACTCCCTTGAACCTGTATACCTGAATATTGACGCTTTTTGAAGATTACCAGTCAAAAATAAGAATAAGTTGGGATTATTAGGCATCCCTGTCATATTTTAGAACAACCATCAAAAAAGAAAAAAAACAAGTTTGAGCAAATATATGCTTGGAGCAAGCTCCCACTATGTGCCCAATAGCCCTTAAATGGCATGGTAATGCTATGACAACTGTTGCCAAGATACATGTGAGTTACTTCTTAGACCACAGCGATTATCACATCCAAGGACAAATTAACAGTAGAATGTTATTAGAAATTTAACATAGAATTGTGTCTCATAAATCAGATTTTTTTTTAGTCCTTTGGGTTGGTATTTCTATATTTTATCAAATAACTGCCTCTATACTAGAGCAACTTACAGTAACTAAGCGGTCTGCATAAATAGTTGCACCATGCAAATTTACTTTAAGGGATATAGTAGATAATAATACAATTATAGCACTTTCTTACAAACAGGAGATTTGACTGACTTCAGGAGAATCAACACACGAGCATATTCTTTCTGAGATTACAGGACTCAGATACCCTTCTCCTGATTGTTCCAGTATCTAAGGGGCTGCCGCAAAGAAGAGGGGGGACAACCTATTCTCCAAAGTACCTGAAGGCAGGACAAGAAGCAATGGATGGAAACTAATCAAGGAGAGAAGCAACCTACAACTAAGGAGAAATTTCCTGACAGTAAGAACAGTTAACCAGTGGAACTACTTGCCTCTAGAACAGTGGTTCTCAACCTTTTTAATGCCGCGACCCCCAACCGGTCGTAAGTCGAGGACTAAACCAGTCGTAAGTTGAGGACTACCCAACCGGTCGTAAGTCGAGGACTTTCCCTGCCTGGGAGCACCGCGCATGCGTGGTTCCACCCCCTGCGCCGGCCGAGGCGTAGCTGGCAAGCGGCAGAGACGGAGCAGGCCGACCACCAGCTGGCCCAGCTCAAGGGAGGTAAGGCACCCGCCGGAAAAGGGGGAAAAAATGGCGGACAGACTTGCTTGGCGACCCCTGTGAAATGGTCGATCGACCCCAAATGGGGTCGCGACCCATAGGTTGAGAACCGCTGCTCTGGAAGTTGTGGGTGTCACAACTGGAGGTTTTTAAGAAGAGACTGGACAACCATTTGTCTGAAATGGTATGGGGTTTTCTGTCTGATCAGGGGCTGGACTAGAAGACCTCCAAGGTCCCTTCCAATTCTGTTGTTCTATTATTCTGATTATGCTTCCGTACCTTTCTCTTATTATCTTATTACTTTCTCTTATTATCTGATTATAGGATGACTACCAGTTGAATGTCTGAAATAATCTATGATGAGTATATTACACACGTTGAGAAAGGAGAATGTCCTCTAATGCTAATCGGTAGGAAACACAGATACCCTTGAAATAGGCACAACTTTCAGGGAAAAGCCTCAGCTGAAATTTCCTATAGCAAGAAGAAGCAACAGGCTGGTCAGTCCTTCCATTTTTACATGGTCTTTTCCCTTGAAAGACAGACATAAAGGCCACAGGGCCAGTTATCTTCAGTCCACAGTTGTCTCAACCCAGACAGTGCTGTACTTACGACATTGCGGCCTAGCTTGTTTCTTTATTATGTACTGAGCACAGTCTGATAGATGGAAGATACCAAAATTATTACCTTGAAATTATTTTCTTTGGCGAACAAATTACAGAATCGGTTCCTTCAAAAGAAGTGTTTTGAAGTAATACTATATACGTGTATCAGAAATGTCTCCACAGCACACCAGTTCCACATTATAGTCCCTTAATAAAGGGTTAGATTTCATTCACATGAGATTTTCACAATTTTAACTACTACACCTCTCCTGGTCTTGGAAGATTCTTGGAGGAGGCGCGAAACATCTTCAAGGAAAAACGAAGTCCAGCTGCTTTTTGAAAAAGCAACTTTGGGACAACCATAACCTGGATGACTAAGAATGTCCATAGACTCACCTCTCCTGGCTTTGCCTCAAGACAATGGAATAGATCAGGGGTAGGCAACCTTGGCTCTTTTATGACTCGTGGACTTCAACTCCCAGAATTCCTGAGCCAGCATGGTTCAGCTTGGAAACCTCTCCCTGTCCCCTCAGCGTGGCTGGCTCAGGAATTCTGGGAGTTGAAGTCCACAAGTCATAAAAGAGCCAAGGTTGCCTATCCCTGGTCTATAGCCTGTCCTTGCTTCTCTTTGAGTCTGTTGGGTCCCTACTGCTTTGTAGATTATTCACTTGCTTTGCTACTACTGTAGGTACGTATGTCTGATGTAAGTTAATGCATACATGACAACCATTTGTTTCTTCCTTTCTCTCCCTCTGCTCCCAGTCTATTCTTAATCTTCCAGGTGGTTCCAGTTGTGTTTTGGAAGAGTCACAGTTCTTGCCAAGCGGTGGGGATTCTTTAAAATTGCTGCAGCTTCACGAGTCATAAAAGAGCCAAGGTTGCCTACCCCTGGATTAGATTCAGCAATGGCAGCATGCCAAAATTTCATTACCTCAAGCCATTGTTGGTCTCTTCATCAGAAGACAGCGCCCCGTTACAGACATTTCCAAAGGAACTGCTTGCCTTCAACTTGGTGGTCTCACGATCTGGCGTGGCCTCCCGTTTTTTTCTCCTTCCAAAAAACTTTTTGAAGGGCTGAAATTTACTGCCCTTTTTCTTATCTGCAGATAACAAGGCAAAAATACACACAAGGGCACATCATCATTTCATCTGCAAACACTCGGGGAAACAAAAACTTAGTTAAGAAGCCACCCAAAAAGATGGGAAATGCAAACCAGTTGCAAGTCTATGGAAATATTAGACATTAAAAGCACATCTGTCTATTGCAGTTGAAGAAGACCGTATCTTGCAAAAACAAAAGTCATAAAAATGTTCATCCTGTAGTGTTTTTTTTTAACTTCACTTTTTATATAGATTACATGTTGAGTCAATTCAATTATTAGATAGAGACCTTCTCATCTGAAATATCTGTTTATACAATATATTTTTCTTGCTTAATAAGGATGAGAAAGTTTATAACCATTTGAAGACCCATTATGTAAGGGGATGATAATTTATCAGGTTTTTTTTAAAAAAAAAAAAAAATCAGCATCCAGCCAGGCTGGATATTTTTTTTTTATGTTTAATGTTAGATGTTTGAGTCATTTTTTTCCTTTTTTTCCCTTTTTTGTACATATTTTTTTATTCTTTTTTGTTGTTGTTACTGTTGGATGTATGGGTTTTTTTGTATTTTATTTCCATTAATAAAACATAGTAAATATATATTTAAAAAATGGTCATCCTGTAGTGCAGGGGTCTTCAAACGTGGTCCTTTTATGACTTGTGGACTTCAACTCCCAGAATTCCTCAGCCAGCATGCCTGGCTGAGGAATTCTGGAAGTTGAAGTCCACAAGTCATAAAAGGACCACGTTTGAAGACCCCTGCTGTAGTGCTTAGACATGATCAAGATACTTCTTTAAAGAAATGGTAGAAGACTACTTTCAACAATAAGAACGCTTCAGCACTATAAACCTGAACGAGGAATGGCTTTATTTAGATTTTCCTGGCATTAGGCATGACTGTTGCTCATCTTTCAATCTAAAGGAATGTCAAGTACAACAGAAGTAGCCCTATAATGTAGTGAAAGAAAACTGCATTTAAACTGCAGAGAGTGAGAAATGATGGCAAATGTTATTTCAGGTCTTGCTTTTGTGTATCAATATTATTATGCCTTGTCTTACCTAGTAACCACTATCCTACTATGGACTGTGTCCATGCCACAGTATAGCATTGAAGTATTTATGGTGCATTAATAAAACATTGATTCAGTTCTCAGGCAGTGGTTAGTACAAGTGATATAATGGGTAGGCAAAGGGTTTTAACTAACAGTGGTCCCCTTTCCTGTGGTCTCTGAAAGGCCAGCTGGAATGACCAGGGTCCATATAATCTTATACTGACTGTATAAGATTATACAGGGCAGGATCATGGCTATCATTGCATTCGCAGCTGGACTGTCAAATACAGAATAGGAGGCAACTTGTAAACTTGTCTGCATTTGAGTTTCTGTATGTGGCTTTGCTGGTTAATCCATTCCAATTCACTTTATTGCCTTGTAAAATGTAAAAAAAATCCAGAACTTTTCACAGCACACTACAGATATGTTTCCCAGTTTTGATAGAGACAACTACTGTATATACCAAGTGGTGATTTTTCAAGTTGTCCTTGTAACTCCTTGTTTATTATTTGCCAAAGGGGAGATATTTTTGATGAACCGCTAACACAGGAGATACTGTATAACAGTATCTAGCTTACTACAGCTAGGACACTGAAGACCTTAATAAATCATAGTGGCTTACAATTTTGGTAAATTATTTTTTTTACCCCCAGACCAATAAAAACTCAGCTCTAAAGAGAGAAGAAAAAACAACAGCAGATCAGAATATGAACCACTCTGAGAACAATTACACCTAAAATGAACATACAGTTTATCATTTATAACTGCCAAACAGAAAATATTGGACTTATCCAAGATCTGGCTAAAGCCAAAACAAATAAACTAAGATATATTTCAATTTTTAAAAAAATAGCATAAAGCGAATGGTGTTTAATACGTTGTCATTTAAGGAGACCCTTGATGCAATTCAAGCTGGAAACGGATATTGCAAACCATTTTTTGTCTAACCCATAATTACATCACTAAAACTAAATTGCAAGTGAAGCATCTAATTTCAAAACAAATTGCCCTTCATATGTTGCTAATACTATATTACTCAAACAAGCAGAGCCAATTAATGATATAATAGCTGAAAGCACATTTCCATTCCATGGGTTAAAGTACCAGTAAATTTATTTTTCACAGGAGATCAATTTAGGAAACACAATTTCAGTATCTATATAAATGAAATGTCACTGTAATAGTTCTGATCTGTTAATTTAATATTTTTGTTGGTTTTTCAGACAGAAATGATAAAAGTTAAGAGGGCTCATATGAACTAAATCCATCCATTTTGATTTATTTTTTTATTTTTTTTCCCTGCACTAAATTTATTTAATCCATTTCTATGTCTTTACTTTTTAAAATCAGTCTCAAATGTGCCTCCACATACTGTGTGTTCTCCTTCAAAGAACTTTTTTATTCCATTCCTTTGAGTTATGCCTTTTTGTACATTTTTCTATTATATCCATTTTCTAAATATTTGCCTACTGCAATCAATTTTAATTTATGCATATCATAAATTTCCTTATAATTTATGGATGTGAACTGTGAACTATGATACAATATTCAGAAAAGCACAAATCTTAGTATACTGTATTTCTGTTAATATATAGAATTAGTAAATGCCAATTCAAACTAAACGTTTTCTCTATATATTTACCCTCCATTTGAGGTTGTTCACATAGTTTTCATAGTTTTATTTTAAATACAATCCTACCACAATTTGTTTATATTTTAAAATATATCTCTCTAAAAGTATTTTAAACTATGTTAGAAGTTGTCCCTCTTATATTTCTGACCGTTTTTCAATCATATATCTTGCTGCCCCCAGAGATCCGGGTGATTCCGGATCTCCCCTCCTTCCGCCGCGCCCTCAAGACCTGGCTGTTTCAGCAGGCAGGACTGGCCTAGGGGTAATTTTAAATTGGTTTTAATTAAATTTTAGTAGTGCGGCCGATTCGAATATTTATTTTTAATTTATCTTAGATTTGTATTTTGTGTAATTGTTTTAACTGGCTGTAAGCCGCCCTGAGTCCTCCGGGAGAAGGGCGGGGTATAAATGAAATAAATCCTAATCCTAAATCCTAAAAATATTTTAATTAAAAAAAAAACAAGAAAAAATTAAGACTTAATGCAGAGGTCCCCAACCTTGGCCACTTTATGACTTGTGGACTTCAACTCCCAGAATTCCTCAGCCAGCCATTCTGGCTGAAGAATTCTGGGAGTTGAAGTGCACAAGTCATAAAGTGGCCACAGTTGGGGACCCCTGACTTAATGTATTTAATGTATCCCCAAGCTTTTATACAATCCCAGGTTAACATTTCAAACTACATAAAAATTAATTACAGCCTACTGTCTGAATGACTCTCCTTGATGTATCTCACTATCAAAGAGATAGAAGAGCTTTTCAAACTAACTTTACAAATTATTTGTGTGCTAGGCAGGAAAGCAAGTCAGAAAGAGAACAGCTCTCAAAAGGAAGACTAGTTTACTCATACTTCCGCATAATTTGATGATTAGCAAGGTTGTTAACTAGGTTATGCATGTCCATCTGGGACCAAGTTTGATCTCAAACATAACAAATAGAAATGTTCTGTTATATAAAAGGTGGTGTGTTTCTAAAAATCTATTCATGACTTGTCAGTAAGCTTCCGAGCCCAATAGATATTCTGGTTAATATCTATAAAGTCCTCTTTTACGTAGCACTTGGAGATATCCGTATCACCTCAAGTCATGATAGCAGGTTTCCAACATTTGAGGAGCTGTCACAGAGAAGAGGGGGTCAACCTATTTTCCAAAGCACCTGAAGGCAGGACAAGAAGCAACGGATGGAAACTAATCAAGGAGAGAAGCAATCTAGAACTAAGGAGACATTTCCTGACAGTGAGAACGATCAACCAGTGGAACGACTTGCCTTCATAAGCTGTGGGTGCTCCATCACTGGAGATTTTAAAGAAGAGATTACACAGCCAGTGTCTGGAATGGTAGGATCTTCTGCTTGAGCAGGGGTTAGACTAGAACAGTGGTTCTCAACCTGTGGGTCGGGACCCCATTTGGGGTCGATCGACCATTTCACGGGGGTCGCCAAGCAAGGCTGTCTGCCATTTTTTTGTCCGCCATTTTTTTTTGTCCGCCATTTTTTCCCCCTTTTCCGGTGGGTGCCTTATCTCCCTTGGGCTGGGCCAGCTGGTGGTCGGCCTGCTCCGTCTCTGCCGCTTGCCAGCTACGCCTCGGCCGGCGCAGGAGGCGGAACCACGCATGCGCGGTGCTCCCGGGCAGGGAAAGTCCTCGACTTACGACCGGTTGGGTAGTCCTCGACTTACGACCGGTTTAGTCCTCGACTTACGACTGGTTTAGTCTTTGACTTACAACCGGTTTAGTCCTCGACTTACGTCCGGTTGGGGTCGCGGCATTAAAAAGGTTGAGAACCACTGGACTAGAAGACCTCCAATGTCCCTTCCAACTCTGTTATTTTGTATTCTATTCTAAGACAGAATCAGCCCATCTGGTCACCGCATCTTAATAAGGCCTATTAAAAATGTCCTCCCCTCCTCCAGAGTTAAATGAATGTGGGCAAGAGGGCAGCCCTTTTCTAGGGTAGACCCCTGGAAGTGGTGGGGTTGTCTCCTTGTAAGTATCATGACCATATTTTCTTGGGAGGAAAAATAAAGGACAAATTTGAAAAGGGAGCAAATCTGAATAAGATTCATAAGATGAGGGTGAAGGTTCATTCTTCAAGTTTGTGGAATGGTTTCTGAATGTTTTGTTAACCAGACTAGGTAACATTTTCAGCAGAGTTTAGGTGATTACATTCATAAGGATTGAAAATTTAACCTCTGCTGTAAAATCTGCTTTACAAAGGAAACCTCAAGAGCAAAACCAAGAAAAAACTTTGCAAAAAGGCATATTCTAATAAAAAATATCTAAAAGCAGTATATATAAATATAAAACAGTATA